GACCCCAGCGCGTGCAGCACCCTCCCTTCCAAATTTTGCAGCTGATACTGGGGGTCCGCGCCCCGCAGGGTGTCTTTCTGGAGCGGGGGAGGGTGAGGTCTGAAATCAGGAGCCGCAGTGAAATGGCTCAGATGTTTCCCAACTTCCCCTCGCCCCTGCGTGTCCGCGGCTCCGGCTTCCGCTTTTCGGCCTTTTTCGGCCCTTTTTCCTTTTCTCCAGCTTGCGAAAAGCCCGGGTTGTGCCTCAAAACCCACCCCAGGATTCCCAGCCCCTCCGCAAACCCCTTCCCGCGCGGTGGGGAAGCGAGCGATGGGTGCCGGCAGAGCCCCTGCCTGCTGTGGGTGGGGGGCACCGGCCCTGCCCTCTGGCTCTCCCCCCTTCGGGGCTGTGACCCCCGGGGCGGGGGACACGGGGCAGGGCTGGTTCAGCATCGCTGCCCATCCTTGGTTCCTGCCCGTGCCTACGGCAGGGCTTGCAATGACTGCTTTTTTTGGGGGGGGTCCCATCCTCCGTGGGTCGCCCCAAGGCTTTCACAGGGATCCCGTTGCTGGGAGCCGTGTAGGGGGGTCGCTGTCCCGTGTCCCTGTCACCAAGTCCCCAAGGGGGTCACGGCTGTTGGCTTGCAAAGCCCAACACCCCTAAAACAGGGAAACTGAGGCACGGGTCGGGCGCTGGCCCCATGCCTGGTTTTTGGGTGCATGGGTGGCTCTGCCCAGCCTGTCCCTCCTCCCGGAGGGCCCCCACAGAGCCCCCCGGCCCCGTCGGCCCTGCTGGCAGCTGGCATTTAATTCCTGCCCGCCCCAGCCCGGGCGCAGGTCCAGCCCTCACTGTGAGCCTCTGTTCTCCCCGGGCCCTGGGAGGGATCCCAGACCCCACTAACTCCCATTTAGTTTTTTCAAGGCTTGATTTATTTATTTATTCCCCCCCCCCCTTTCCCCAATCCCTGATGCTCAGTGCCAGCTGGGGACATGGCCACAGCGGGGGGAGACGGGGTGTCTTTGCTCCCCCCTTTGTGCCATGGCTGTGGGGCTGGATGGGGCCGTTTGGAGCCCCATCCAGGGGGGCTTTAGGACCACCTGTCTCCTCTCTGGCCTCTTTGTCTCCAAACTGTGCGAGATGCCACATCCTGCACTGCCAGGGGCTGTTGTTTAAGGAGACACCATCGGTGCTGACCCCTCCCCTAAAATCACCCCACAAACTCCCAGTCCTGTCGCTGTGGAGCTGGTTCTGGGCTAACGTCCCCTTTGTCATGATGATGATCATCATCATCACCCAGGAGATGCTCAGGGTCCTCCTGTCTGGGGCTGTCCCCTGAATGGGGTCTAGGGGGCTTGTGAGATAATCAGGGACATGAAATGCTTATCCTTAAGTGACAGTTGGCATCAAGAGGTTTTGGGCTAGTGGCCTCTTTGTCATCACCATCATCATCACCACCCACACCAGGAGATGCTCAGGGTGTTCCTGCCCACAACTGTTCCCTGAACAGGGTCTGAGGGAGCTTATTTGACCCTTGGGGACACGACAGTGCTCCTACATCCCCCTTGGTGTCTTGCAAGTGGCGTTCCCCTCTGTCCCCATCCCGTTCCCTTCTGCCATTATCCCATTCTCGGCACTGGAGATCTCATTTTCAGTGCTGGGGTGGCACTTGCAGCCCTGACAGCTGGGGCTCCTGCCCCACACACCCTGTTTATGGCACAACCTTTGTGTGCAGAGCCCAGGCAATCAGATAATGAGCGTTTCCTCCCAATTCCTGAGCAGGGCAATCGCGGCCGCTCCCACCCGGCACCGGCTTTGTGCCACAGGAATGATCTGGGGTCACCTGGAGGAGCCCATCACCCAGGGAAAGCAGGATGGGTTGTCTCTCGTGGTCCAAAAAAAGTCCTAAATTTCATATACTCTCTGATTTGAGGGTTCTGGAGTAGGTAAATGCATTTCCCTCCACGGCAAATGGGTGTTTTGGAGCGTTTTTAGTCCGTGCCAATGCTATCCTGAGTGTTTGGGGTCTCTGTAGGGGCTGTGGGACCTCTGCAGGGGCTCAGGGCTGTCCAGAAGTACCAGAGGGAGGGGTGTCTGTGCTGTGGTGTCCCGGCTCTCCCTGCCTGCTCTGTGCCAGGACAAGGGTGTCCAGAGTCCACCACGGTTTCGGTATGACCTGGCAGGGCTGAGCCACCCGTGCAAAGAGCAGCCGAGGGTGGCAGCCCCTGTGGGTGCTGGGTTGGCAGGAGAACCTGCTCAGCAGCACCCCTGGATTCCACAGGGGTGACACAGGGTGATCCCATCCCACCTTGACCCCATCAAGAGGTTTTCCTGCATGGGCAGGAGGGGGGATTTTTTGGGGGTGGGGATGGGTGGGGAGGTGGTGACTGTGGCTGTTGCCTTCAGAGGAGCTTTTTGGGGATCTGGCTTTTACAGCCTCCAGCTGGGGAATGTCTCCTGGGAAGGGGCTGAGGGAGGGGATGGAGATGCTGGCTGCACCCTGGAGTGGGGAGCAGTACCTGGGGTGGGGGTTACTGCCTTCCCCCCCAGCGCAGGGTGGTCCCCATGTCTCCCAAGCCTGGGATCAACCTCCCACCCCTCCCTCCTCCAAATGGGGGAGTTCCGCATCCTCCTGTGCCCCCCTCGTGCCCCACTAGCCCTGAGCCACCCCAAGGCAGTGGGAGCTGTGCCTGGGGGGGGGTTCTGACGCGGCAATCCCGTGCCACGAGCAGCATCCTGATCCCGGGGTGCCCATTCCCAGGTGCTGCGTTCCCACGCCCCCGTGGGGGCGGCGGGGCTGGAAAAGGGGAGGGGACAGGGAGGGGGGAGCCCCATAAAGGGCCGGGCAGGGCCCAGGCAAGCCTGAGGAAGGCAGTGGGTTCTGTTGAAAGGGAGGGTTGGCAGGAGGAGCCCCCGCGGCCCCCCCGGGGCTGAGGGATGCTCTGATGCTTGGGCTGGGTGCAGGGTGTAGCCCCTGGCGCCAGGGCTGGGCCGAGGGCTGCTTGGCAGGCAGAGCTGGCAGGGGGCCCAGCCTGCCCCCCCCCCTGCTTCTTTACACCCCCCCAAATTTTGTGGTCGAGCGTCATTTCCCACCCCACCATCCCA